AGTCTTTGGAAAACTTGGAGGATCACTCTATATCATAGGAAGGGACCCTGGGAATAGAGTTATTAATTCCCAGCCAGAAATCAGCCAGGATTGCTGGTTATGCTTAGAGACGCAGCTTCCATACTAGATAGGATAGGAACTAACCAGCCTGTCAGCCCATTGAGTGACAACTCACTGTGACTGGAGACCACCCAAATTATGGGGACTTAGAAGAGACTAAAACTTGTGTACTATACCTGAATCTTTAACCTAGGCACTTCCCTTTATTCTGACACCTGCTATTCAGCCTTGTGGGTTAACACATCTGGACACCAGCAATATTACCAAGCCCCTGAGACTAACTGGTGGGCACATATCAATGGTTTAACTAAATGTGCCCCTTCTAATGCTTTCCAAACTAAGGGACAGGTTGATCAGGACCTAGATGTTTTAAACACTGGAAAATCTTCGGCTTACTGTTCCTGAGATAAAGGCGACAATAAAAAGCTTTGGAAGAAACCTGTTGTTTCTATGCTAATTAATCAGGAGTAATTAGAAAAAAAAAATCTCGCTGTAGCTGGGGCTGGGGGAGACTCAAAAAGAGAAGAGACACAGACAAAAACCAAATAATTGACACCAGTCTGTTTTCTTGGTCTGCCCCCGGCCCCCACAGCTAGCTACTGTGCTGTCAGCACTGGCTGGGTCTCTACTTCTGATTGGATTAACACAGGGGCTCTGCATCTTAAACTAAAATAGTGTGAGTTCACGCTTTGACTGATTCACTAAGACCACTGGAGAATGTGACAGGGCCCTAGACCTTGGGAGGCCCTTAGACCTTACCACAGCTGACTTCTTGAGGAGTACCACTCAGGCCATAAAATTCAGCATCGTTAATACCACAGACCAAAACAAAAATAAAGACCCAGTCTATCCAAGTCCATGCCTTTTGGCTTCTGTAAATCTGCTTCTGGCTAACTGTTCTTGTTAACAGAGTGTGACAACCCAGACCAGTATGTCTGTGCTTCAAAGCTCACATTGGGGAAAGTTCAGTGTTACACTGGGATCGCAAATACCCAGGGTAGCTGCCAGCCAGTTAATAAA